GCGACAGGCCTGATGCCATGAATTTTTCAAAGTAGACGCGTTTTTTGTTACATTTCATGAAAGTGACGCTAAATTCTCACGAAGCTACGTAAGACTTTGTGAGTTGTTTACTGACAAGGAGACCTCCTTTGGAGAAATGGTTTTTCTACCGATCTAATTCCGAGGACCATTGCGAACACTCTCTTCTAGTCATGGCGAGTTCAGCTGGAACTGTGCTCATTTCCCTTTCAAACCTTTTACACTGTCTCTCTGCTTCAGCATAGCTTCAAAGCTCGGGCTTTAGTTGACTAGAGCTCGCGGTGGTATAGAACCCTAGAATTTTGCAAGAAATCTTTCTGCAATTTGTCAACTCCCTGCCTTCCCAACACTACCGTGAAGATGTTCAATGAGTCGGTTGCATTCCACATTGACAACGGAGTCCTCACATATACTTACAAGGGAAACGAAGCGATCTCAGTTTAAGACGGTCTTACAACTTCGTTTTCTACAGTCGGGAGGCTTTTTCAGACTGAAAAAAGGGAATGGGACAAGGGAGACGATAAGACAGCTTCAGAACAACAGAACATCGCTAGCTGCCATGGGTCGTGGCAGACACGAAGACCCAGATATTCTTCCATTTAACTCATTTCATTCCGTTCCTTGAGTTCCAATGTGAAGCTCGTCTGTAGTTCTTTCGAGGTTAATTATGGTTGAAACCATCGACGACGGTGATCTCGAAGAAAGTGATGTCCTCTTTGTGGAGATTCTCCAACATTTAGCTGACCTTCCTCATAACTTGAGGCTGGGACGTAAACTATGAGGGTTGTTAGAACTGGGTTGGCAGTTCCGGACGACCATGGCTATCGTTTGGATCAGGGTGCATTTCTTGTCGCCTCGACACTGCTACACAGGGGCACACTTTGGTTCAGGGGTGAGAGGCATGTCCTTATCAACTGATGCCTATCTTTAGAGCTTCTCTGGAGGATGCTTAGCTATGAAACTGACCACTTGAGGGCATGGAGTCAGACATTTTCAAGGTCTTTAAGAAGAAATCGACAGCAGTGTTTTTCGAGGAAAGAAGATATTCCTCCTTTCTTTCCGCATCTTTTTTCAAGATCGAGATTTTTTTCAAGAACACATCTTTTTTCAAGATCTGCGCTGTTGCTGAAATTTCTCGATCATGTAACATCGGTGACATACACACCACTTCGTGCCGCCCCTCAATCGTCTCATAAATAACCTGCTCGTAAATCACTACGTGTGTTATTCAACAGGGCCATTAGACATTTTCCTGAAGATGCAGCTGAATGTTCATCTCAATCACAGTTTCTCATGCAGAATTTCTATAGGTGAGCTCAAAGCCGTTTCTCAATATGCTTAGCAAGTGCGACTACTCAAAAACATTACCCATTTATCACTTTTTTTGATATTTTATTCTTATAATTGCATGGTGAAGAAACAGGATTTCCCAAACATCAGTATCATAACGGATTTGGGTGTAGGAACCAGCACTACAAAAAGAATTTATAAGGCGTTCGCCAGGACCGGTCCAACCAGTTCTGAGAAATTTCTTTCGCATTGAAACCGACTCTGATTGGCTTAACAAAAAACTACTTCAGGAAGTTCTTCTCTCTAGCGTTATTCCCGCACATTTGCAGGGTCTGCTGTTCCTCCTAGTTATATCTATTTCCTTCCATGTGAGGCACCTGTCCTGGGCTTGGTTTTGGTCAATGTAGAAGAAGGTCTCAGTGGTCCATCCACATGTTCTTTTGTAGTAACACACAGGGTCAAACGAAACTGATCGTAGGCTGGGAAATTGAGTACTGAGCCTTAACGTACCCCAGCAATGACGTCTGGGATTTCATTGAGTCGTGAAAAGTGTGTACCCTTCAATGGCCGCCTGGAACCTATCCCACAAGCCTCGTTCAAAAAAATCAGGTGCTCTGGATCGTTCGTTTTCGGAGTAACCTTCAAAAACATCAGAACGAAAGGAATAAGGCAATTACGCAAGGGTCGAAACACCTATCGTATTCCACGGATTTTTCATGGTTTCAGCTGCAGAGTAGCCGAAAAGTAGCCGTCGCCGTCATTAGGGGGTACGGTAAAGAATACCATGGTCATATGCGCAGAATTTCACCTTCATAGTTTTGCCTTTTCGAGCCGATTGAGGCAGTCAAGTAGTCCACCGCAAGTATTTGCTCCCTTTGTTGAACGCACCATGAAACCGCAAAAATGCTTGTAAGCGACATGTCCTACATTCCTGTTGCCTAGTGATTGTTCCCCCGAACATGTTTTCAAACATCAAGTGAAGCCATCAATGCGAGGGCTACCGTAGATTACCTCATGTATCCTTGAAAGGAGACACTGTTCTATGGGTTAGCAAATCCGTACCGTATTGATGGGAAGAGCGTAGGGTATATCTCTTCATCTTCGCAATTTACGATCATCGCAACATGTATTTTCTCTTTTTTACTGTCTTTTCTCACTCACCTATGTTCATCCTTCCTTTATGATTTTTTAGTTTGTTTCTCGTTTCAAGAACCTCAACTACCGTTACAGTTTTCCAGACAATTCAATGTAGCTCCAAAGACTTGCCTTTGATCTCTCCGAAAAGTCGTACCGGTGAACTGATGTCACTGAAAGTCGAGATTCCGGGCAAGACCTTAAGATAGTGAAAGAAATTCCAACTTTCTCAGTGAAGATTTAATAACAGCCTTTACTTGGGAGAACCTTCACCATATCCTCTTGTGAATAAATACTTCTGAACTCCTTTCCTAGTCTATTCAGCCTTCATAATATCATCAGTTTATCATGACAACAACGGGCAAAGATGTACGGTAAATGATATTGATTCTGATAATGATTCACTGTGGTCATTAAAGCTCGGAGTACAAATGTAGCATAGCGTCCCTTTCGTTTAGAGCTTCCGTGAAGGCTGACCATCGCGCTGATGGGCATACTGACATTCGTTTGGTGTTCCAAGGGATTTGGTCAGTAATCGCCCACGCCAAACGGTCACTCTAGAAATGGATAACGTGGCCGAACATTCTGACCTTCAACGCCTCGGCTTGTGGACAAGTGTCACTGATATCCGTTCGTTCATTCTCGAGTACTAAGAATGTCGCGCGTCTCCTGCTGCTCAGATTCTGTGGTAGGTAGTTCATCCTAATGACTTCTCGGCTCAGGTAGCTGAAGCATTCAGAGACGCTCCTTCTGTTCCGCGTCATGTGGGCATCAGGTATCAACCCGGTTTTCATGAATATCATCTTCGTCACGTTGTGTCACAAGCCAATCTTTCCACAATGGCTGTCAAATTCGGTCAGCGTTCGTTCCTCATGCTCGATGTTCGATGTCACAAGCATGATGTCATCTGCAAATCGCAGATGATGTATAATAAATATCGGCCATCGGCGTTCACTCCCATGCCTTTTATTCAAAATGACTCATGGTGTCCTTGAGAGCGTCGCTGAGAGGTTCGTGGTACCACCCTGCATCTCGTAACATTGACGATGACCTCCTTATAGAACCGCAAAATTCTGGTCATGAAGATGTGTAGAGCTCAGAGATCATCCTTATGTATTGAGTGGAAACATCCTGGTTGGATGCTTCAATTGCCGCTCTGTCTCGACAGAATTAAAGACATTCCTCAAATCAATGAACGCCAGACATAACGGCATCCCGTACCCTCGCGATACTTCGATGAGTCTTGTAGCGGTGTGGATGTAATCGATAATACTGAACTCTCTCCGAAACCCTGCTTGCTCGCATAGCTGTCCTTCATCTAACATTCTGCCAATCCTGTTAGAAATGACGCGTTTGTAGATTAAAAATGGCAGTCAGATTGGGCTACATATCGCCAGTATCGTTGGAATCTGCTATACAGCAGCACAGTCTTGCAAGTTTTCTCAACGTGGGAAGTTTGCATTCCGACAGATACCCCGTGAAGAGCCTGGCCAAAGTTCTGTCAACTGGTTGAAGACTCTTCAGATGTTCTGGTTTGACCCTAATTGTTCATCAACGTGATGACATGTCGAATTCCGGAAGGGAGTCTGAAGGAACAACATATACATATTGCCTTAGATGGTAGGCGAGCAGGTGGACGGGGCTGTTGAAGCGATTCAAGTGGGAGCCGTGGTTCACCTTCTCCATTACTACTACAGATGCAGTAACTGTGCAGAAAGACGAGAAGAAGACCTTTCTTGCAAGTGCTCCTCGCGACTTCGGCGTTTGACAGTAAACGCTACACTTCTTTTTCCGCATCACTTATCGCTTCTCTTTACACTTCGCAGGTTCGAATATTTGTAAATGATTGCCTGTACCTCGAGCGATTCCACCTGCGTACCAGCACGGGAGTCTTCAAAGGGAGATGTCCCTTGACTATTTGTAGACTCTCCGCTCTCCCGACATTATTGTCACGGTGCTGAGCAAGCCGATTGTAATCTTCATCGATAGCGAATATTCAAACAGAATTGCAAGGTTGTGACCCCAGTTGCTAGAAGTCCTGGGCTTCATTTTCCAAAAGCCGCAACTCTTCTCCTTTCTCCACGCATCGAAAAACAGAATTTAGCACGAAGGAGGTGATGGCCCGATCCCGTGTAGAACCACAGACCAACAGCGATGCCAGTCAAGCAAAACTTCATTTGAATGAAGATGATGTGGTCCATTTCGTTATGGAACTGTCCACTGAGTGACTTACGTATCCATAGTGAATGAGAGGGCTTTTGAAGGATTACCACGGATTATGTGAATCGACATGATAGAAGAGTACTTCCAATTCATATTTAACGCCTAAAGCCCTTTTATTCCTAGCTTTGTGTTTGTGCGTAGGCAACGAATACGGTTAGAGCTGGTATTGAGACTATTCTCAAGCGCAAACGTCCAACTAGGGTTATTTAGATTTCGTACAACTGATGTTCATGGTTAAGTGCGAGATAACGACGACACCTACACCACCCACGCAACTTCTGTCGTTACGAAGAACAGTTACCCAGTTCGAAAACGGCGTGCAGCGAGCGATGCCTTCACGTCTCGACCGGTCCAATGACGCCGAACTTAATCTTCCTGGCTTTCACCGTCAGACCTTCGATACATGTCCACGATCGACTTTCTTGCAATCTTGGCATGATATACAGTAAAGATACGTCCTGTTCAAGCCTCTCAAGATTGAAAACTTTATATGGCCAACGTTTCGGCTGCTTCGCCTTCTTCAGGGCCTGAAATAGTGCAAAGCATATGTGGCTTGCTCGCCCAAACGCCTTAACAGAAACTCCAAGAAAAATTTCAAGTAGACTAGTCAACCCCCCAAGGTATTGATCGAATGGAGACATGGATTGCTCACCTTGAAGTCCGCCGCTACGACAGGAGGACGACCACCCTCGCACTGACTGATGTTTTAAAGTAACTAGTAATACCTCCCACTGACCTCATCGTAGATCAAAGGTTACAGAGGTCAAGGAAGGGTGCGAGTTCACGGGTTATGGCTACGCACTCCTCCTTCCTGTTCATGAGGGGCTCTTTTGCGGTAATCCAAAGCGCTTCCAGGGTCTTGCGCGCCGCGATCTCAGGTTCAAGCGCCAGTATGGACACGGAAACGTCAAAGGCTGCGCCTGCATGGAATAAAACCCGATGAGCTCCTAGCGCCCTTGATCCAGCTAGCCCAGCTAGATGTTCTTTAACCCGTACGCACAAAGGGCGACCTGTTTCTCCTATGTACTCACATCCTTAGGCAACGTATGGAGTAAACCACTCCCACCTTCATGCAGTCACCCACTTTGCCATGAGGGCATACCACACAGTCAGAGGTGTCGCATACAGTATCGTAGAGTCGACTACGAACGAGGAGCTTCCGAAGGGTGTTTGGAGGTATTTCCACAATCCGTATATCGTCTTGAAGACCACACCGACGCACAATAGATCGAATAGATCTACTTACATCCTCGGAAATGAAAGGCAAACAAAAAGCCGCCTTGTCAGATTGTGCTCTCTCTCGCACTGTCGGTGTAGGGAAATACCTCCGCCGTGTTGAACCAGAGCATGGATATCCGTTCAACGAGGCAATGCCCTGGGCAAGATGCAAAGACTCCTTCTTCAGCTCAGCATCGGATGAAACTTTATTTGCGACTCTAAACATATTATNAATGCCGTTTTGAGAATTTGACGTTCAATTGCTCGTAGTTGTTGGGAGTCCTTCGGGAGTCCACATAGCTCATCCAACCGCTTGTTTCTGATGAAGTTCGGCGTAATGCGGTGATGAAGACAGCGGCTCAAGAAGTGGGTGGTCTGTCTCAAAGCGACAATCTTTTGTCGCAAAGACAGCACTTCTTTCACAAGTCGAAAATATTCGGCTGGTACTCGTCTCAAAATAGTCCACGATCGACTTTCTTGCAATCTTGGCATGATATACAGTAAAGATACGTCCTGTTCAAGCCTCTCAAGATTGAGATTGTCTCCATTCGATCAATACCTTGGGGGGTTGACTAGTCTACTTGAAATTTTTCTTGGAGTTTCTGTTAAGGCGTTTGGGCGAGCAAGCCACATATGCTTTGCACTATTTCAGGCCCTGAAGAAGGCGAAGCAGCCGAAACGTTGGCCATATAAAGTTTTCAATCTTGAGAGGCTTGAACAGGACGTATCTTTCTTCGATACATGCTTCCAACGCAACTTCTCCATTGGAAGTACAAAGCGCCCCACTAGTTCCCACTCCTTCTCTGCAACCAGTTATAGCCTTGAGTTTTGGGCAGCCTCTCCCCAGCGTCCTACACATGATTAGGCAGTTGAGGACGTAACGCCTCTTAAAATTATTGATCTTCACATATGGATACTGAAAAGTGGCTTCCCACTTTTGTAGAAGGGGCTGAGTAGATTCCAGGTGGCTGACTTGGCTGTTCAGGGTAGACGAGGGAGATCCCCAAATCGCCTCACGAATTACTTCCTAATAATCGAATGCAAGCTTTTGGCTGAGCCGATGTACACAACACCACCCGCAGCAAGCAGACTCTTCACACGCACCTGCATGCGTAGCAAGTTTATTTCCTGAATCTTCCTGCACCCAGGGCAAGTATCGGTGACTTTTGTTTTGCAATTTAGCCTCCTAACCGCTACAATCCTGCTTAAGCCCACCAGCTAGAGATCTTCCAGTGCGAGAAAACCTCTAACGAAGGATATCCGTGGAATTCTAGATGTAGTCAAAAAGTACCTGCATGGTTGCTATAGGGACAGAAATTCCTGCGTAAATCGCAGTATTTCTACTGCTACTACACTGCGACTCGATTGCAGAAAAGGTCCTTGAAGATGTCTATGGATCATTTAGCTTGGCGAAGGTAGACCTTATTCCGAGTCATAGGCATTCAAAACAGTTCCATACGCTGCAATGCTGACGAAACCAATTAAATGAAAACAGTTTCTACACTGAGTTTCGACAGGTCTATGAGTCTTAGATGCTTAGCTGTTTGGGGCTCTTTGCAACATTATGGAGTTTCACTGCTTACGGTCAATATCACCACTATCACCTGCATCCATCTTATCCTCGCGAACTTCGCCATTCATGCAAGTCGACATTGAGCCATCCGTTGCGGTCCTGTGCCCTTCGTTTCCATTGTTGGCCAAGCATATTCATCATAGAATCAGCCCACCTCAATTTGGATTACCTGGCACTCGATAGTGAACCAATTGGATCTAATTCGTTAGCCGGGATGTCCATCGTTTGCCTTTCAATCGTGCTACATGACCGGCCCACTTTCGCTTACGATTATACATTTTCTGGAGAACATTACCAAGGCCGCTTCGTTTTCGCAGCACTGTGTGCGAATGTTCACGAAGTGACGCTTTGCATGTCCTGCGTTCCATTGATCTTTGCATCACAGCAAATTTTCCTTCGTCTGCCTTCGTAGACGACCAGCATTTTGAGCCGTAGAATAACGTGGGTATCACCGTCTAGTGAAACAACGACGCTTTCACTTTCATTGCGTGGTCTTCGTCCAGTGATAACGTTAATAACGATGAGGTTTTGTTGAAGCTAGATCAAGCTGTTTCCCTGCGCCTGCTGCACTCTTCGGTGCTGCCTTCTGTGAAGCTGAGCTGGTGTCCGGGGTACTTAGAGCTTTTTAGTTCTTCGATGGTTTCGTCATTTATTGTGACAGGCGCTGTAGGACAGAACTGGTTGTGCATTCATTTCGTTTTTGACAAATTCATCGCAAGTCCGATTTCGCTCCATTCTTCTGCAGTCGCACAGGTTTCTCTTGGAGCTCTAGGGCACTATTTGCAAAGATGACGCAATCATCAGCAAAGAGCAGATAGGTCAGGTGTTCTCCGTCGATCTCCATACCTCCGGTCCAGTCAAGATCATTAAACAGGGTTTCCAAAATTAGTGGAAGCAATTTCGGAGAAATCGTACCTCCTTGTCGTACGGCCTTGCATATTTTTATTCGACATAGATCTTGATGAGCTTTATTTTCGTGATATAGCCACTGGTCAGTTTTTCGAGAAGGTGGAATAGCACGAATTTGTATCTGCTCATCGCATTCACTATCGCATTTGTTTCGACCTAGTTGGATGCTTTCCTGTAGTCGACGATTGCCATACATAAGAAAATCCGATAGTCTACTTTTTTCAGTAAGCTAACGTACAACGTGAAATGGTCAAGAGTGGAATACCCACTTTGAAATCCGGCTTGCTCTCGGCTCATCGTCATGTCCAGGTCTCCGACTATGCTATTTAGGATTATTCTGGTGAAGGTCTTATAGACGAGAGAGCAATGCGATGGGTCTGTAATTGTCCCAACTTTCGAAATTGCCTTTTTTCATTAGCGGTATCGTGCGTGATTTCTTCCACGCCACCGGAATCCTCTTCTCACCGCGGTATCTGCTAAAGCGCTTTGCCAACGCTTTAAAGGGAGGTACTCCACCTGCATTCAGGTGTCCGGGACATATTTTGTCGCAACCTAGGTTTTTCCCCGCCTTATTCTGTTTTACTGCATACTTCACTGCTTCCCACATGACATCTGGGATCGGTTCTTCTGCGTGGTTCAAACGACTCTTGTGACGACCGCCTTTGAAGATTACAAGTCGGTAAAAAACTTCGCACATATTTCGTTCATCCGAGGGCGGTTAGTGAGCCTAGCACGTGTATTGTCTTTTAGAGCAGATGTTACCCGATGTCTGAAGCAAATATCCCTTTCCTTTCAGCCCNCCCCCCCCCCCCCCCCCCCCTTCCCTCAGCTGCCACGCGAAGTTCCTTTTGTTCTGTAGCCTTCATCGTCGCACTTAATCTTTCTCCTTATCGTTTCGCAGGGTTCCCTGTAATCCGCGGTTTGCATTCGTCCTTCGGCTTTCATGCGCCTCTCTTCTTCATCGTTTGCACTGCTTCTGGCGACATACGCCGTCGCCTTGCTGGTTTTGTTGCTGTGCTCGGTGCCTTCGCGGCCTGCGTTATTCTAGATCTTCGTAGACATCTATGCTATTATCAGTATTCATCTGTAGGTCTGACGAGTAATCATCGTTGCATACATGTCGGCATTGAAGGTACGTCGTATGAGTGTTTTTTTGCGAACGTAAAACTTGATTTTCTTCCCTGACATCGCAGAGAATCACCGAACATAGGAGTCGGTTATCGGAGCTGATCGCAATCACACTTTTCCCAATAACGGAGAAGTCAGCGAGCAATCTTTGTGTATCAGTACGCAATAATCAATCTGTGCTGAAGTTTTCGTTTCCAGGCTCCTCCATGTCCAAAGGCGCTTGTTTTTCTTCTCAAAGAAGGTGTTCATTATCGGAAATTTGTGTTGTTCTGGAAACTCGATTAGACGATTTCCTCTGTGATTTCTTATTTCCTGCGCCGTACCTTCCTAGAAGGTGTTCCGTACCGTCCAATCGGGAGCCGACTACTGCGTTGAAATCGCCTTGAACAATAGTGTGCGTCGATTCGAGCATAGGCCTTCTCTGTTCCCCCCTAGAAGTTCGTTTCTCGTTTCTTCAGTTCGTCGTTCTCTGCTGCTGCGGTGGGCGCGTATACTTGTACAATTTTGAGCGTTCGGTTCACCAGCTTTTGCAGCTTGATCTTCAGAACAGCATTTCTTGGGGACTGAATATCGCAAGAAATAACATACGAGGCCATCTTTAGTTTCACGATGAAACCGACTCCACCTGCTCTGGACACATTATCAGCCCCTACTGCTAGCAGAATTTCTTCATCGCTTGACCTCTTCGCTAAGACTGCGCGTCTCTCCTAATTCGCAAATACTGACAATGGCGGTTTTATCTTCTCCAGCTGTTGTAGGTATATGTCTAGGAAAGAGTCTGTCGACAATGTCTTGACGTTGTGGGGAGCGATGTGTATTGCGATGCGCCTGTGGTCCTTATTCCGCCCTTGTCTTACGCCGAAGTGTGGGCTTGTTGTGCGGAGTCGGGGCATCTTCACACGCCCATCTCGGGTCCATATCATACCATCTTCAAAAATTTCCCGAACTTCTTGTGCAGCAGTCCATTCGAGTGAGCAGTGCTCTTAATCTAGCTGCTTTGTTCGCTCGATTGTTTGCCACTGCTTATTCAATATATTCGCAGCTAACTTTCACGATGGACGGCCCGTTCCTCAATCCACAATCTGAGGATGCGGCAGATGGCTGCCAGCATAAGCACACTGGTACGGTCGATATACACCCAAAAAAAAAGATATCATGTCGTGGCCTCGGCCCTTTGCAGTTCCCCTAACGATTTTACTGTAAATATCGTAAAAACGAGAAGAGCTTCAGATCGCAGGTATTCATCATCCACTGCCACCACTCGGCACCAAATCTCAGGCAGCTCGTCGATCCCCTTCTCTCTGATTGTTGAGGCGAGGTCTTTAAAAAAGTTGCTACTTGCCCCTATTGACCCTGTCTTATAATTGTTATCAGTGTTGAAACTCTTTTCATCCGAGTGACATTGATGGTGACTAAACTGCCAGTAATGTGAAGCGGCGAGGTCTGCGCTACAATCTAGGCGGAGGGCCATGGAGTTCGTGAAAGTAGAGTTGGAGTAAAATAACGGTCATAGGCTGTACTTGCTGTATAAACTCCGTCTCCACCACTAACCTTTACCACAAACATGAAATCAGTACTGTCGTGCTATATGGATATCGCAACAGGCTGGTATTTCC